TCCCCCGGCCGGGCCGCCCGGGTACTCACATGGCGGGCAGCCGAGCGGGTGCCGAGCGGCTCAGGGTCTGCTGCCTCCCTCTCCAGCAAAGATGGCTTTCCGGCTCCGCTCCTGCTGCAAGCGGTCTCCTAGTATTGTAGGCACCGCTGCTGAGATAGGAGGGGTAGGCACCGGCTACTGAGCATGCCTGTGCCTCACATCACGGAGTAGGAAGTAGAGGCCAGGCACAGAGGTACCCCCTCCCCACCCTCGCGCCCGGCAGGAGAAAGTCCTAGAGCGACTAACGCGAACGGAGCCTCCCGCCGCCGGCCGCGTCCCGCCGCCTCCCCGTGCGGAGCAGGAAACGTCTCGCCGGGGTGTGGTTACCAGAGCCGGGCCCATTCCGGCCAGGAGGCTCGGGGGGGTCACTTCGATGTGAACCTTTGTCTGTTCCTGTAACCACCTTCCTTCTCCCTCTCCTCTCTGGAAAGAAAAAAAAGGAGCGGGGGGGAGAAGAAAACCACGAGAGGTAGTGCGGTTCAAGCTGTGCTGTCATGGGTGAGCGCTTGCGAATGAAAAAAAGCAAGTCCTCAGGATTGTAGTTCCTACCCTTAACGTAGAGCAGAAACCAGAGGCAAATAAGCTGCTAGATCAACCATTGCTTCTTAAACGATTGCGTCTCTCAGGTGAAATAAAGCCGATGCCAAGTCTGTATGCTCCTGGCTTTGACTTCTTGCAGCCTTCGCCTCGCACTCAACCTAGGTCCAGGCATCTGATCTCCCCCTTCAATCCCCTTCATTAACATCAGCACTTCTCTTGCATAACCCCCGCCCCTGTAGAGAACAAAACTTCTTCTGAATGCTCCTTTGCACTTAAACCAAGGCCACCACGTACTCTAAACAGAGGCCAAGGAAGAAGGAAGTCTACACAGCCAGTTCTTCAAAAAGTGGAAACTTAACGTTGCTGTCCCCAGTTATACCTTGTTCCATTTTACTTGTAAAAAGATACTCCACCAGTCACTGCCTGCACTAACTTTCAATCAATTTCAGTGACAGCTAGCACAAGCCTTCATAACCAGGTATCTACCCAAGTAAGGCAAGGGCTTACCCAGAACACGGAGGAGCTTTCATAAGTATCTAGGTCTTGGGCTGCCTGTTGGGGATAAAGTACATCAGTGTCATCAGATCAAATCTGTGTTTTCTGCATGTGGAAGCCAAAGAAAAGATGAGCTGCTCCTCAAAGCAACAGGCAGAGGTACAGGTACTAGGGGCGAGCAACACATCAGTCCCAATTTCAACTTGTTATCAACCAGTTGAGTATTTTCATGGAGAAAGAAAGTAACCGGGGACTGTGGCAACACCCACAGCAGCCTGGGTACTAAGTTATTGCCTAAATCCAGGCTCAGATGCTACCACAGCCTGATTCAGATGCAAGCCCCCAGCTATCAGCTCTGAAGGGGAACCAGCCCCTTGGGAACGGTGGAACACCTCAGAGCGACTTAGTCACAGGAACCTCTCTTCCTTCTCTCTCCGCTGCCTGAGAGCTTGCTCACTGCATTAAAGACTCATCATACCTACTGCCACTGGAGAGTGATTCTGTCTCTTCTACTGAAGCTAATTATTTGCATTAATAAATAAATATCACTTAGAGCAGCACTTTGAGCCTTAGTTTTCTACATTTGACCACATCACTAAGGGCTTGTTCACATATTGCACTCGTAACAGCCTGGCCCTGGGAAACTTTCCCTGATGGAAATAAAAAACACTTCAAACTGGATTTTCTCTAAGGAAAGCTGGAGTTTCAACCAATTGACATGCCCTGATGACAGTCACTGATTCCTGACTAGCTTTAAGCTTTATCCATCCACAGACCACTTAGCTCAGCACTTCTTAACTGGAATTCCTCTCCATAACTCTTTCCTCCTGAGGACAGTTTACTTTTCAGATATCCTAGGCAAAGATATACTAATACAATACCCCTGCAGCATACAGCCACACCAACAGCCACGCATAGACTAAAGCCCAATATTGGGACCATCTGCTACCAGGTATGTTATCTTCTTAGTCCTCAAACCCAAAACACATTTGAATACTGAGGAAGTGAAGTGTCATGCATGGCTAGTGTGGCCAGGAGCTCCTGGGACAGAAGGACCTGCTATCTAGACCTTCCTGCCCTTTCTGTGGTATCATTTCATGTCCCTACTATATGGGGGGTGAAGTAAGTAACTATTGATGCTAGATGAAAGCTCATAAGACTCAAAAAAAATCCTGGAAAACCCCAAACCCAACATGAAACAGTTTTAATATATGAACTATCCAGAGCACATAGTACAGTGTTTATGCTGACTTCATGCCAGCTTTATCCTGATTGAAGGAGAACAGAAAATATCCACATAAGCATAAAGGTAAAATGGCAGACAGACATTGCCTGCTTTGTGTGCCAGTACAGGGATAATGCTTCAAACATTGTGAACATAGTGCAGAATGAGCTTAAGCTAGGTCGGTGCACCACATCATACGGCCACAGCTTTCTTTGATCTGATACAGGAGAGCTCTCAAAACCAAATTAAATAACATCATTGGACTATGGCCTCAATTGCTAAAGAAGAATTTCCTACCAGCTAATGAAGGCATCACCATTCCAATCCAAGAAGGCTCATGATCCTGAAGAAAATCCACAGCTAAGCTGGGGAACATTTTCCTTTAGCCCTACATTCCCTCGAGACTGCAGCTTGCCATTAAAGGCCTTTGGTGTAAGAAGAGATGCAGAGACACCCTGTGGTGGCAAAAATAGTAAGATCAGAATTAGTTCAAACAGCTTAAATTTTATTTAATTAAAACACAGAACTAGATCAGAAAAGCTGCATCCTGGGGACACAGAGAAGTCTTTCCCAAGTTGCAAGTCATGTAATTTCCTCTCTCCAGACCTCTTTCCTGCCTGGCATCTTTTGCCCTGTGTGTTTGCACGGCAGTCCCTGCCACAGAGATTTATACCTCTTGTTCTGTTCGGTTCTTTTACCCCAGGGGATATCAGCTGGGTCAGGGCTGCTGTGTGCTGCTGCAATCGGAGGGATGGCTGTGGAAATGCTCCGTTTCTGGAAAACAGTTTCCTGCATCTTTATCCTGCCAGACATCTGGGTAGCGAAAACTATTGGTCTCATTTGTAAATTGTTGGAGTTTGGTTGGGTTTTTTTACGCCATCCATAATTCATACTTTGTCCTGAAATCATATTTGTACATATGAAGGCAGTTACAGAGGCACCAATACACTGCTCAGGCAGTCCAGGAATGAAAGCAGTCAACAGCATGCATCAGTGCAAATCAGTTTTGACATCTGAAGTCTCGCAGGTACTAGACCTCGCTTATAATTAACTAGAGACAACCTACAGACGCAACACTGAGGTTCCTGAAAATGCTGTCTACTGCTGTTACGTGATCTGCATCTGAAGGAAACGTATTTTCTCCCAGATCTACAAGTCGGATTCCCATTTTAAAGAGTCATTATGTGATCTATAGGTTTACGGACTGACCACATACTGAAGTAAATCTCAGGGCTAGCCACAGTAACACTATTATTGGTTACTTTGGCTCACAAAACAAAAAACCCCTATTGCTGTTGCTACGTAAGAAAGGTGAGGGCAGTTAATCAGTATATTGAAAGCAACGGTAGTCAAGTTTCACAAGATTTAAGCAGAGAAGAAAAGCAAGGCAAAGAAATAAATTACTCAAATACCAGGTATTCAGATCTTCTGATCTGGCAACACATTTAAATATATAGTTAAAGTATAGGAGGAATTCCTCCTACATCATTAGAATTAATTACACTGGAAACTCAACATAGGCAGACAACTATCTTTAAAAGAAGAGAAATTAAATACTATACATGTCCACAGTACAATTTTTAAAAAATTATTGACTAAAAGGCTTTAGAAAAGACCCCTTCTGTGTACCTTTGATTCATTGTCACCGATTTCCGCATACTTACACCTGCGCTTTCAGTGTTACAGTTTCCTCTCTTGATCTTTTAGACAGGTGGAATTAGTACTGAAAGATCCTGCAGTGAGAAGCCTTTGAAGCTCACTTCTCGGAGGTAAGGAAGATTCCTGCCTCCCCGCTTGCTGATTTTATTAGCCACAGATTGGTCTGCTCTGCACAGCTTCACCTCAGCACCACTGTATGCCTAAAATGGGTCTGGAACTTGCAGTTTATTTTGTCATGAATTAAAAACTGAAGGGAAGTCTATAATTGTGAGGTGTGTAATTTTCTTTCATTCACAACTTTTATTCATTCCTTAATAGCACGGTAATTCTTTAGTGACAGTTTCTGTTTACAGGTCAATGAACTGTTTGTAATTTCTGTCATAGTCTTTTCTGCCATTTCTGTGGGAGAAACAGGCCAACTTACCTAGGTTCTGTTAAAAAGCTGGATGTCTCATTACCAAGTATGAGTAGCAAGGTGTGTCACTCTCTGTTCCTTTGAGGTACTTATAGTTTCTTGTTAATGTGTGTCAACGTATAATTTTGGTAAATAATTATAACACAATGGAAAGCCTGTTTCAGGGTGAGATCCTGCAAAGCATTTGCACAGTGAGTCCCTACTGCCTGTGTATATCCTCCTGTAAGGACTGGTTAAGGAGAACTGTCCTTAAAAGGCTGGGGGGAGGCACACAAGGGGGAAGAGATGAAGAGTAAAATCAGAAAAGTGCATAGTTCAAAATGGTTGTCAGTTTTGTTTTTAAGCCTGCAAACTTTGTGTGACCTCTTTTAGATTATTTGTGGAAAATATTTTGAACAGGTAGGAACAGACAAGTGCTTCCAATCATTAGGGGGGGTGAACACAACCCTCCGAGTCAAGCAACCAAAAGTTAATGCAATTACTAAGTATCAAATGTAGAGCAGAGAGACTAATTCAATCAGAGAGGCCAAAGGGATAATTCTTGGAGACAAAGCAATGCAACGCGGAAATGCAGACTAATCAACTGCTTTATCAAAAGAAAAAGGAAACAATTTCCAAGCCTTAACTAAAATCCCCAGTTGGTTCTTCATCTTTTCAGGGTTCTGGTTTATGCTTTGCAGTGTTTGTTTCATCTCACATTTGTTTCACCGCTTCTCTTCTCTGCACAAAACTGTTTCATAGGCTCCTTGTTCTTTGCTTTTATCAAACGAGCCGCCTCCTCTCCTGGTTTTCAGCAACTAGCCTAATCATGAAAGAGAGCACGTAGAGGGAAATATTTATTATATTTAATGTCCAAGCCTACTTTCTGTAATTACGTGGAATAGTGGTTGAGTAAGA